CCCAGACCTCACTTCCACCTTCCAACTGAGAAGCTCCACTTCTCTGTTTTGTATACTAAATTTGGAGCAACATTTATTTTTTTAAAGATCCTGCTTAATTTAAAAAATAGAGAACACCATAGAGCAGCGGTTCTCAACCTGTGGGTCGCGACCCCTTTGGGGATCAAACGACCCTTTCACAGGGGTCGCCTAAGACCATTGGAATACACATATATAATTACATATTGTTTTTGTGAATAATCACTATGCTTTAATTATGTTCAATTTGTAACAATGAAAATATATCCTGCATGTCAGATATTTACATTATGATTCATAACAGTAGCAAAATTACAGTTATGAAGTAGCAACGAAAATAATTTTATGGTTGGGGGTCACTGTATTAAAGGGTTGCAGCATTAGGAAGGTTGAGAACCACTGCCATAGACTGAATGATGTTACATTTTGATTAGACATAACATATTCTAGTTTATATTTTTAATGACTGTTTTCATCTCACTTTTTTTCAACACATTTTCTCCATTCATTCATGCACTCTTGGTTCAAGTAAAATAAAACCTTAAAGATGCTTATTATTTTATATAGCTTATTTTTTACACCTTTACAGTATCTTTCTTATTAAATACATGAGCTGATGTGTTGCTTTTCAAAATAAAATTAGACAACATGAAGACTGGATAAAGTCAACTCCGGCTTGATGTGAGTTATTTTTTTCATGCTGCCTTTGCACACTTAAATACTGTACTGCATTATCATTGAGGTAGACAACAACAACAACAAAGGCAAAACACATTCACATAAAGAGGGAAAATGGGGAAAAAAGCTGCGAGAGATTTCTTTTTAACATGATTATCATCATTGGGCTTTGCAGTCTTCTTTGACACAAAGTTGAGAAATAGTCTTCTTAATACGAAGGGCAGTGAGGCGGGCTGCCCCATTGGCATACCAACACTCGCGCATTATTCTCCCCATGACTCGGAGTGCCTTTAAGAGAGAAAGATACCAAAGACTTTACTCACACAGAACACAGTACATGAGAAGCAAAACCACAAACCCAGAAATTGATGCTAAGCTCTGATGAACAAATGGTAAATAAAAAAATAATATGAGAAGGAGATTACGACCAAATCTCTTCAACAATCTTGTCAACACACACACGTATATTTACCTTACAGAGGCTAACTGTTTTTAAAGATACATTTTTTGTTGATCTTAGAGAGGAAGGAAGAGGGAGAGAGAAAGAGAAACATCAATGATGAAAGAGAATCATTGATTGGCTGCCTCCTGCAAGCCCCCCACTGGGAATCGAGCCCGCAACCCCAGCATGCGCCCTTGACCAGAATTGAACCTGGGACCCTTCAGTCCACAGGCCAATGCTCTATCCACTGAGCCAAACCAGTTAAGGCAGAGGCTAACTTTTAATTGAAAATTCATCCATTGATTCCTGGGGGTATGGTAGAATGGCTATTGTTTAAAATATTCTAAGAAGAGACATGATAAAAAAGAATATAAGGGAAATGGGATGGCTTAGAAATTTAGCATATATTTATCCGGGTGGTAACCATACACATGCATACATTTTTAAAAAGGTCATCAAATTATATATCAAGATTTGTGCATACATAAAGTATGCCACAATAAAATAATGATCTAAATAGAAATATTAAAAATTCTGAATTTAAAAAATCAGTATAAGTGAATTAGTAAATAAGTAAAATAAATACACCGAGCAGAAGATGACGAGACTGCATGAATCCAGAGCGATACAAGAAGTCCCTAAGGCCTCGTGGCTGCTCTGGTGGCATCTGCTGATCTCACTGCAGATTTTCAGAATTGATGGACCACATGAGAGAGAGGAAACACAGCCTGAAGCACCCAGAAGGTGTCAGAGCAAGATGCTTGCGAAGTTCTGAGTGTAAGGATAAATCAGACTTCGAAGGAATTTTGTAAAGAAAATTGCCTAACTCTTAGCTCTCATTTTTTAAAAAAATCAAACCCAAGTCTTAAACTGTTGCAGTAAGCCTGAGCTCATAATGAAAATCCACAAGCACGTGAGAAAAGAAAGTAACATAAGCAAGAGTCAATTGAAACAAGAAGCAGTAAAATCAGACCCATCGAAACATTAGATGCTAGAACTAAATGATATAACATGTAAAATAAATATATAAAATAATTTGTTTAAAGTAGAGGAAATTCAAACTATAAGTATAAAACAAGAGCATCTTTTAAAAAGAAAAGTATCAATAAAACTTATTGACATAAAAAGTATAACCATTAAGCCCTGGCCACTGTAACTTAGTCAATTGGAGCATCATCTGTTCACCAAAGGGTTGCAGATTCAATCCCTGGTTGGGGCATGTGTGGGAGGCAACTAATTGATGTCTCTCTCATCTCTCATATCTCTCTCTCTCTCTCTCTCTCTCTCTCTCTCTTCAAAACAATGAAAGAAAAGGCATGACCATTAAAATAACTAAATGGGTGAGTTAAATAGCAAATTTGATACATCTTAAGACAGAATTAATGAACTGGCAGATAAATGTGAGAGCTGCTGTATGAAGACACTAATATGGAAAATAGGGGAGAATAAGAAAACAGCGAAGTAAAATAAAAGGTCTAACAGATATCCAATGAGTTTTCAAAAAAGGAGTAATAGAGACAATGAGAGGAGAAATTATTTGAAGAGATAATGGCTCAGAATTTTGCAGAATCAGAGAAAGTTACAAATCATCAGAATGAGAAAGTCCAAAAATTCCAACCAAGACTAATCAAGAGACATCAAGACCAAATGCATAAGAAACTGCAGAACACTAAAGTAGTCAGGAAGAAAAGAAAAATTAATTCAAAAGAGATATAAATTAGATGCCTTCTCAATAGCAATAAAGGAAACCAGAAGACAGTGAAATAATACCTTTAAAGTGTTTAGAGAAAACAAACTCTGAACCTAAATTTTTATGCTCAGATAAACTATTCTATTTGTTTAAGATTGTGGACAAAATAAAGACTTTCTCAGACACCCAAATGCTGAACGAGCTTACAACCACTAGATCCTCACTAACAAAAAACAATTTAAATAAAATATGGTCAAAGGATGCACATTAGAAAGTAAGAAAATGATCTTTGAAGAAAGCTCAAAGAGCCAAGAAGGAATGTTGAACAAAGAAAATTATAAACATGTTCATAAGTCTAAACAAGCAATAATGGTATAAAATCACACCAATATCTAATACATGGAGTTAAAACAAAATAAGATAGAACTAAAATACTGGGCAAAAATAGACAAAAATTGTATGTATCAGCAATATACAAAGTTGATTACATAAAAAATGACTATTAGGTCTATTCTGGGAGTGCAGTGGCCAAGAAACAGATACACCAAAGTATCTTTCAATAGAGGACTGGATAAAGAATATGTGGTACAGATACACAATGGACTATTACTCAGACATAAGATGAAATACTGCCATTTGCAACAACATGGATAGACCTTCAGAATGTTATGCTAAGTGAAATAAGTTAGTTAGAAAAAGGTAAGAACCATATGATTTCACTCATATGTAAGACATCAAACTGAAACTCTGAACACAGACAGCAGTGCGGTGGTTACCAGAGAGAAGAGGGTGAGGGGGGTTGGGGTGGAGAGAGGCCTAATATATGGTGATGGAAGATAATTTGACTTTGGGTGGGGGGCACACAATGCAATATACAGATCATGTATCATAGAAATGCACACTTGCCACCTATATAATCCTATTAACCAATGTCACCCCCATAAATTTACTAAATTTTTTAAAAAGAGACTAAAGAAGAAATGCTATATAATCACCTCATGTTTTATCAAATAAAAGTTAGCTTTTACTTACCCTAATTAAAGTTTTTAAAAACAAAAATTCCAGCAAACATCATATTTAAGTGTAGAAAATACAAAGTTCTAAAGAGCAAAACAAAGATATCCACTATCACCACTTCTAGGCAACATTACACTGGCAATCCTCAAAAGTGCAATAGAAAGAAGGAAAAGGCATGAGGACTGGTCCCCAAACTCTTATTATTTGGAGACATAATCATATATGTGGGCACTCCAAAAGAGTCTATAATTTAATACCTTAAAGGAATTTTTCCACACACAGATACATACATACATAGCAGCATTGTTTTTAAAAAAATGAAAAATCACAGATCTGACAACAGTACAGTGATTAAAGAAATTGTGCTATGTTCATACAATGAAATGCTACACAGATGTAAAAAGGAACAGATCTGAGATAAATATGTAAGAGAAAGTAAAAGAAAAATTAAG